TCTTGTATCTGATTAATTCCGCTGGATCATGAGAATTAAAACAAGACCAAGAACGACGTATAACAATACTGGGAATAGACAGTTAAATGTAAAAATGCATAATGATAAAGTCACAGTTATTCCAATGTGACATGGGCAAATGGACACACATAAAAACACATCAAATATATCTGGTTGAATGTCTTTTAAAGAAAAGAAGTTCCTTTGAGACATTCCAAAAATGTCATAAAGTGTCTTAATGTCTTGTAAGCGGACACCACGCTCTGTCCTGAGTGTGGGTGTCAGCTGTGGGGGAGGTGTGTGTGTGTGTGTGTGTGTGTGTGTGTGTGTGTGTGTTTTTTCAAGTTCCAGGCCTTTTGGGGCTAAAGGCTTTGGGATTTTAGCACGAAGGTATTTAGTTATTCAGATTCACCCTGGCCCAGTCCTTACATCATGTATAGGGTTGGGTATCGTTTGGGTTTTATCCGATTCCAGTACCTACTCGGTATTTTTTAAACGGTTCCGGTGCTTAAACGGTTCTTAAATCGGTACTTAAGAAAATGAAACCGCACACACTTTATCAAAAAATAATACCCTTTAATTTACAGGGCCAAACTGGACACAATATTAACTTAAATCTTTAAACAATATAAATACAAGTAACATGGTAATAATAAAACCAATATAAAATAAAAATTCATATTTACATAATATCAAATGAAACAATATTGTATCAAACAATGTAATAATACTGGAGATTAATAGAGATTACTAGCAGGCAGAGCTGCCAACTCTCACGCATTGACCGTGAGACTCACGCAAATGACCCTTTTCACACAGAAAAATCGCGGACAAAGAGGACACTGACAGACAAGACAGAGAAGGTTACTTTTGATATGGAACAAATCCACAGCTGTCAGATTCTGTCAATATTTTTACGAGATTAACACAATAAATAACGTTTTGGCTCTTTGAAATGTGACAGATCGCTGTAGCGCGTCAGTTCAAACGGCACGTGATACAGCAGCCTACAAATCCACTGCTTCTTAGCTACGCAGCGTTGAGTGAACCTATGAAAGAGAACATCTCTGGTTACTGGTGTAACATCTCTCAATTGGGAACGGGACGCTGCCAAGCTCCTCGCGCTGCCGACCAGCTTCCTTTTTCGGCAGAGAAATCTGAGGACGGAGCAGATGGCGCGCGCGCGCCAACATAATATGACGACGTAAGTGCGTCGAGGCGGCGCCCGCGCCATCAGCCAATGAATTGGCTTGATTCTATATGGGATTCAGACTATCGGCACACCCAGAGGGCGTTCTGACACGTAATTTTACACCTGAAATGCAGCCAAACCTTGTGAGAAAGAGCGCGCATGCGAGACAGAAGAAACTGCGCTCCAAACTGTGTAGCACACGCACGGCGGAGAGAGAGCGAGCGAGAGACCTTGTGTGTGTGTGTGCGCGTGTGTGCCTAATGAAGTTAGGCACCGAAATCAGGCACCGAAATTTTCGTTCTTATTCGGTCTGGTTACTACCGTTTACGTCGGAACCGGTTCCCTATTGGCACCGAGTTTCGGTACCCAACCCTACTCATGTATGAACTGGCATGAACTAACCATGAGCAACACATTTGTTACTGTCTCTTAGTTAATAATACAACTGTTAATTGTTTATTCATGTTATGTCACAGTCAGTGCATTAACTAATGATAACAAATACAACTTTTGATTTTTTATGTTTTAGTAAATGCTGAAATTAATATTAACTAAGATTAATAAATGCTGTAGAAGAGCAGTTCATTATTAGCTAATGCTAACTAATTTAACTAATGAAACCTTACTGTAAAGTGTTACTGATTCATGATAGCTAACACTGTCTTTCATACATATAATACATACATTAAGTTTACAACATCAACAAAACTAAAAATTAGTTTTCCATAAAATTATTAATTTTACCTTCTTGATTCTCACTGTTTTGTTTGGTAAAGTAAATAATATTTAGTAATATTATCATAAGTTCCCTATTTTCATTTGATGTGTTATGCATTCTAATAATTGTAAAAACATATTTTCTTAGAATGCCAAGGAAAGAAAGAATAAAAAAATAAAGGAACTCTATGATGCAGCCAAAGGAAGCATCCCTCTCTGTCAGGGTCCTGCCATGACAGTCTTGTCTGTTTTGTCACTGTTTAGTGTTTCCTTGTTTGTCTTGTGCTTGAGCACATGGCTTTGTCTTTGTTTGTGTTGGCCATGTGCTCCTCTTGTCCCGCCTCCTTGTTTCCCGTTGCCACGCCCCCTTGTTTAGTCCACATTTCACTAATTGTGCTCACCTGATCCTCATGTGCTCTGGTCCCTTTATATAGTGCCTTTCCCTCTTGTCTTTGCTGGTTTGTTTTGTGTGCTTTGTGGTTTATTCCTGTTTGCCTTGTGTGTATGGTTAAACCTAGATCTTGTTGTGATATTATTGATCTTTCTAGCTCTAGTGTATCATTTTGCCTTTTTCCCTTCCAGTCTTGTTCTAGTTAGTTTTAGTCTTTTGTTTTCCCTCTTTTGATTTTATTTCTACTCTAGATTATCATTCTACTTTAAATTATCATTGTAGTTCTCTGTGAGTTTATTCTTTTGTTTTATTTTTGGATTGCAAGTTTCAGTAACTTTATTCCTAGTTTTCTTTTGTTTTGCTTCACTAGTCATAGTTCTGTTTCAGTCTTTATTTTCATATTTCCTATTAATTATTATATTGTCTTGCCCTGTTATCTTGTGTCTTGTCTTGTTCATTGTGAGTCTTGTTTGTCCCTTCCCTGCATCCTGAGAATTCCTGACCACTGACATTCACTGCATTGCAGCTAGACTGGTGCTACAGCGAAGAGATCAAGCCTCTGGTTCATTGTGTTCCTGCCTGGTCTTCCTCACCATCATTCCATCTGGTGTTGCCTCTACTTCTGCACTCTACAAGCCCGTTTTCACCCAGGACTGATTTCAGTGGTCACCCTCCTTGCCTGTCATCGTGTCGTCAGCCCTACTCTTCGAACTGTTTCACACCTCACTCTCCTTGTTGTGCCCTGTCTACAGTCTTGTTAATAAAACTCCCCTTCACAGCTATTCTGCGCCTGGGTCCTCTTTCAGATTCTGACAGTACCTGACACTCTCACAAGTTGGCTGAATAGAGAGAATAAAAATGCAGGTACTGTTAAATTAAATATTTAAAAAAATTAGTGCCCTTTTTGGTCCCTCCGCCCCTGCCCCTGAGGAGGTCTGTGCACGCCACTGCTTTAGGTAATAAAATAGCTTCAATACATCGCTACAGTACAATATTTTTCAGCAACGCGAGGGGGTTACATTGCTTTTTTAACCCTTGTGTTCTGTTCGATTGCTGTGTACACCCCTTATGGACCGGGTCAAATTGACCCTAATTGGATTCAATACAATTCCTCAAAAATCACACTATGAAAAACAACAAAGATTTAGATACAAACTGTAAACTTTTAATATCAGCATTTGTCAAACATTACAAAAACATTATATCTGAAAATATGATTTATGAAAATGTTTTTAAAACATTTTTTAAAACAGTTTTGTTTTGACAAAATTGGAAAATAAACAGTATACTGATTTTTTTGCATATATTTTTTTTTCCTTTTTTTTTTTTTTTAGATTTTATGCTTTGAACATCGTAACTGAACAAAAAAAATTGCTGTATAATGAAAATTTTTCATTTTCCTAAGTTAACTTTCCCTAGTTTCCTAAGCCCTTTTTTCCTAGTTTCATTATTCACTCACTGGGAAGTGAGAAACCAAACATAACAAAAACATACATCAAATAAATGTTTTTTATTTATTTTTTGGCTCTGTGAATCTGCCTTTGAAAATCCTACATAAAAGTTTTGGTTAAAAGCTAGGTATTTTAGATATTTTGAATATTGAAATGAGAGCTTATTTTACTATCTGTGTCTGACAAAGATTTTCATCTGTAATTTGCAAATAATTCTGAACACTGTAATTTTAGCTTTTTCAAGTGTGTTTGGTTAGGGTTAGATCACTTTTAGATGCACTTGCACGTTAGAACTGGAGTTGAAGTGCCCTGACATACAGAAAATAAATGTTTTTTTATTTTGTGTCTGTACAGTTGCTTTTGAATGGCTGCCTATGAGGGTCAAATTGACCCGCGAACATCACGAACGTAACAGTAATTTTGTTTGTATATATGTCAAAACACATCAGCATGTTGAAACTTTGCATGCATGTTCATCATGATAAATGAGAAAAAGTCACAAAATATCAAGAAAAAAAACAAAGGTTAACCAGTATTTCCAACAACTTGAAAATCGAAACGGGTCAAATTGACCCGCAACATAACACAAGGGTTAAGTTATTAATGGAGCGCTGATCAGACACAGTGCATGTCTAGCTGTGAATGAAATTATTTTAATGCATTTTGCGTTGGGCGGTTTGCCTCCACGTCGTGCATTAAAATTGCCGACACGAAGTGCATTAAAACAATTTCATGCACAGCTAGCTGTGGATTACCCTGCTTATACCATGGATGGTCATTTGCCAGCATATGACCACTTAAAGCTGTTATTAATGTTTTCAGCGCAAATTTGACCGGAAGGGTAAATGGTTATCGACAGTTACTCGTTAGATCTAGCATTCCGCCTGCTTTGAATCAGATCGATAAAGTAGTGCGTAAGATTACATTTATTTGAATTAATTATATAATTTATTTGAATTATTTATAGAGAGAGAGAGAGAGAGAGAGAGATTCGTATCAGCATCTGTTCAGCGCCTCTCTCCATTAACAACGAAGCTAATAGTTTTTAATTACTTCAAAAAAGCGATGTAACCCCCTCATTTCTGAGAAATATAATGTTGCGATTCAGTAGCAAAGCTATTTTATAGCTAAAAGTCACGGGGGAGCATTGATAACAAGTGTCTTACTTACCTGTGCATTAAACGGTTATTGCACACCTTCCAGCCAAATCAGAATCGAGTATTCAGACAGATGGTATAATATATGAAATGTCAAATGGCATTTTAATGTGCTTATAGAGAAACAGACAAAAATAAAAATCTACCAAGAAATATTCTGTGGAGTAAAGAAATGACCACATGGGTGGCTGCATTGTACCAAAAACAAAAAGCATTTAGTTAGCGTTCAAAAATACTCAAACATAAGTTGCTTTCTTAGTGACATCATTGGTATTTACATTGTTTAGCATTAACACTGATTTTAAATACAAACAAAGTGCAACATTTATCATCAGTTTTTTACTAATTACTCCTTCTCAGGTTGAAACAATCAAATAATCAGTACCTGAGGCAACAATTTGACAGGTCACATTTAGTAGCTTCCTTGCAAAGCCATTTGATGTAATTTCTGCTAGGTGGCATGGTCTGCTGGCTTTGGAAGGAACATTCACTCAATATTATCTGACCTGCAAATTATTTTCAACTTTAAATGTGTTAAGAAATATGAAAGTGATGAAACAGAGAATTCAAGTAAGGACTGTTAGTACAACTATTGAGGACCTGGCACAAAATAAACATTATGGAAAAATAATTTCTAGTTAAGGTTGTTGGTGGAGGCTAATGCTGAACGAAGTTTCTGATGGAAAGCTGGGATACGTTCCCTGTGTAAAGGCCAGTTGAGAACACAGCAAGGTTTCAACATGCCACGACGAAGATGCAGAGAACGGTTCAGATTGTAATCAGTTACATCTTGCAAGAAAATCAGAATCAATGAGTCACGATTCTCCTCCATTACCTGGTGAAGTGCATGATGTGCTTTGAATCTGCAGAGAAAGGAGGAGAAAGTGTAAATACTTCTGAACTTATTAGCTGAAATACCTGTGCATTTCAATAACTTGCTGAAAAGGAAGCGTGTTTTTTTCAGGATCTGAATCTTTACCTTAAAGAACCGAAACTGGTCAGTGGTTTGTATTTAATTAATGGTGACCAAATATTATTGTAGGTATGCCTTTTTCTATCTATAGATAGAGAAATTGTACTTACTGCCTACACCATGGATCCTTTAAAAGCATTTCTGTGATAACAAAAATGATTTTCCTGGATTTTCCCATGTTATCAATAATGGTGTCAAGTTGAGAAAAGCCAGGTATTGCATCTCTGTCTTCAAGGAAAAAAATAACATTTTCGTCCTCTAGGGGGAGCAGGCTTCGTTCCACCCATGGTCTGTCCTTAGCAGTGTGAATGATATAAGCATCATACTCATATCTACCTTCAGCAACACTTTCATTGTTCAGCGACCCCAGCATACGGTTTACCATTATGCTCCAAAAGAACTGGATTCTCCATCCTTGGAAGTGCACCAGGAAAGCTGTAAATAACAACATTAACACTGCTGTACTACTTAAAATGTACAGTGCCTTAAAAGGTGTCATATCCTTGCAGGACAATGGGTCAAAGTTCATGACAGAGCGGTTAAAGTAGGCATTTGGGGTGTTGCAGATGTAACTTTGAGGAAATCCAGGAACACTTGCATTGGTGGAGTTTAGCCACTCAGAGAACCACAGGATGCTCTCACAGGTGCAGTCAAAGGGGTTGCGGTCCATGGAAAGTTCTGTCAGGTTGGACAGCGGCACGCCAAATGTGGCACGTTGGACGGATGTTATAAGGTTCTTTTGAAGATGCAAATACTTTAAAGACTGTAGGTCATCAAAAACAGAGGAATGCAGCTGATCCAAGAGATTACCACGGAGACTTAGCTCGTGTAACTCAGAGAAGCCACGCAAAGCATCAAGTGGAATCTCATCGAGGCCATTGTAATCCAGATCCAGAAGAGTCAGCTTTGTGGCATCCTTGAGGAAAAACACTGGACCACCAGGGTTGGCTGTTTTCCACAACCTAGCCAAGTTGTTGTGCTGCATTTTCAGCACTTTCAGATGATACAGCCCTGTCAGCATGCCAGCATTTATGTTTGCAATATTGTTATTACTGAGATCTAGAACTGTGAGGTTGACTAGTGGCGTAAATGGAGATTGTTCCATATCTAGGGTCCCTTTTAGGGCACGACCTAGCTTTAGAGTCCTCAACGTAGGGACGTGGATGAATGATGCATTGGTAAGGGAAATACTTTGCTGGTTTATAGACATGTCAATCTCTTTAATGCTAGTTAGGCCCTCTAACTCATCCCCTTTCAACTGCTGATTAATGAAGTTTCGGCCAAGTAGGAGTGTAGTAAGGTTGCCCAAAATTGAGAAGGCACCAGGCCCCAACTTGTTTATACCCATGGCTGTAAGATTAAGAGTCTCAAGAAGTGGAGATTCTTGCAGAGAAGCAAAGGTTTTGTTTGTGACTGTCTTCAACCCTGTGATGCTCCAACTTAAATCCAGTGTCTTCAGGTGCAGAAGTCCAGAGAAGATGTGCTCCGTTATCTCTCGGAATGCAGTATTTCCCATACACAGATGCTCCAACTGGACTAAATGGTGGAATGAGAAGTCTTCAATAATTGGTAAGGATGATGCACGACTCTTAATCAGTGCTTTCTGCAGGTTAAGCTGCCTTAGATTTCCCAGTCCACTGAAGGTGTCCTTAGTTAGGCGTCTAAGGGAGTTATGCTCCAGGGATAAAGATTCCAGTCGGGGAAACCACTGAAAGGCACCATCAGCAATCTTTGACATTGTGTTGTAGCTGAGGTCAAGCACTGTGATGTTAGTCTTGTCTAGACCTTGAAAAGTCATGTTTGTGAGTGTTACCTGGAGAGTGTTCTTAAGGGAAAGGTTTTGCAAGGCTGTGCCAGCAAGTTCTTCGCAAAGATTGGTGATAAACTGAGAGCTGAGCCTGCTCTGATCCAGAACCAAGTCAGATATTCTAGCAATAGCCTGGAAACAGCCATTCTCGACCTGAGTTAACAAAACAATTGAAAAAGAAGACAAAGTTTGTTGGAGTGAGAATGGTAGAGCCAAACCAGGTTCAAGAAACTACACTTTTTAGCATGACATTGAAAAAAATAGGGCTGCACAATTATTCGCAATTAACATGAAATCACGCTTAAACCGATTTGGCTTATTTGTGATTATTTGTAATGCGCAGCTTGTCAGTGACGGACGGCTCTGTGATCAGTAGTAAATGCTGCTCCATCTGAAAGCACTGAAAGTTTGAGTCACTTATAACGTGCATTTGAAAAAGTAGCACACGTCATTCCAAACATGAGAAGCATTTATGGACCTCTTGTCCAACAAAAGACAACATTTAATAAATCAATCAAAGCGTTTCAATTTTCTGTTTATTCAGCTACAGCGATAGTTTGATGTAGGGGTGGGCAATATGGCAAAAATATCATATCACGATTTTTTCAGGAAAATTACAATTCACGATTTTTTATCACGATTCTTTTTCAAGTTGGTTTTACTATTTTGCAAGTGACTGAGCATTACAGCCAAACTAATGTCCCTATTTAAAAACAAAGCCTTAGGTAACAAAATATAAAATAAAAAAGAATGGCAGACATTTAGGCCAAAGAAGATACAAATATTTGTCATTATTTTCTTTGTTATTAAAAAAAATAGAACAAAGATCCACATTACACAACTTAATATACAAATTAAATAAACAGTGCTTTATTTTTTCAGATACAGTAGGTGTATTTAGCAGTAGCATTGAAGAAAGTAATTAAATGAACAAATATGAAATTAAAACACTAGACTTCACTGTATAAATTATACATCGATTCTTATTAAACCTACTATTAAAGTTCTCAGTCAGTGACTGATTTTCTCTTTGTGTTTTGTTGTTTTATTAACATTAAAGGGATGGTTCCCCCCAAAAATGAAAATTGTCATAATTTACTCTCTCAAGTTGTTTTAAACCCGAAAAAAAGTTCCTATCTTCTGTTGAAAATAAAAATTATTTTGAAGAATGTGGGTAACCAAACAGTTGCTGGTCCCCAGTGTATAGTTTTTTCTCCCATGGAAGTCAATGGGGACCAGCAACTGTTTGGTTACCCACATTCTTCAAAATATCTTCTTTTGTGTTCAGCACAAGAAAGAAATTAATACAGGTTTGGAACAACATTAGAGTGAGTAAACAATGACAGAATTTTCATTTTTTGGTGAACTATCCCTTTAAGGACAAGCGGCAGCATGTTTACCATTAGGCTGTCACTTTAAGACCGCGCATATAACACATGCACCAGATTTTCTCTCAAATGTTTGCTTTCACTTTAGACATAACCAACTCTGTTTATGTAAACCTTGTGTGTATTTGACAGTATTAACGCAATGAGACTCTAAAGATAACTTAGTCCAGTAGGCACTGACAGGCTGTTAGTTCCTGTGAGCTTCGGGTGTACACGCTCAGAAAAGCACATGTTAGGACAGTCCATCAGCATGCGAATGAAATGTTTAATTGGCAAGGCTTTAAAGCACATGCAAATAATGAACTTTTGTGAAATATTTAGTTTTTACGACATAAAATTTCGTTATTATGAGAAAAGATGTCGTTAAAACGACATAACATCTCGTTATTACCACATAATTGAGTGGAAAAAATGATATGTACTGTATGTGGGAGCAATGCGCCACCATAAAAAAGAAACGGAACGAAGAGAACAGAATACAATCGGACCTTGAAGTCGAACCCGTCACTAAGAGCAAAACGAAACTGCTACCTGTGCACGCAGTCCACTGCCCTACTGAGGGTGATAAATTCGCTGGGAAATCCAATGTATTTCACAGACACAAACATAAACAGAGGCTAAAATCATACTACATATGCACATATGATAAAGGGAAAAGGGGGATACACGTGCCCAATGAGGAAATAAAAAATATGACATGATAAAACTCCAAAAACAACGTTAGATAAACAGGACCCATAAGGTAGATCTCCATTCAGAACGACACTCTACTACATAGGTCTTTCCACATACTTCATTAGATGGGCTAAACTGTGAAGAAAAGGGAGGGGCTGATTATAATACAAAACGCCGCTTTTTACGGCGTCTTTATCAGACCGAAGGCCCATAAATTACGGCGTATTATGGATGGCCTGTAGCGTCAGAAAAGGCATTGTTGGCTGGGTCGAAAAACGTTGATAATGACGGTGATTTTGCTGCGCAAACGCCGCAAAATGTGACCCATTTGGCGTTCCATACATATTTGGAGTGTCTGCACGAGAGCACCTTCTGGCTTTCAGATAGAGCAGCATTTACTACTGATCACGGAGCCGTGCTGCACTGACAAGCTGTACAGAAATAATCGCAGCCTATGCCAAATCGCATGCGGTTTCATTTCGATTAATCGTGCAGCCCTAGTTTGTTTACATGCACAGTTTTAGTTACAGTTACAGGTTTTTGCATAGTCAAGCAGCAGTCTCATCTGTCTGTCCGAGTATCCGTGATAATGCATAATCTAATATTTGAAGGATTAACTGTGGACTCATGTCATCTCTGTCTTTAGGAGAAACTTTAGTCTGATAAGTGTATATACATGAGTTACGGAGCTGTTACAATCACATTTTCTAGGTTTATTAGATCAACTTGGTAAAAAGCGGGCAATTTACATTGGAATGGTAGTCTGGCTATCACCAGACCAAGCTCAATCTTTTAAGATTGAACATTGGTCTAGGGAGTCTGCTATGTATTTTCTACTGCACAAGAGGCGTGATCAACGGGCATAGTTCAAATTACTCTGCACGCAATTGCAAAGTCCTTCAACCAATCAGACCAACGATCCGGGTGACGTACTTTGCAGCGAAAACTCCAGGCAGGAAACGAGTCAACAAACGTGTTGGTTTGTAGCACTGATCAGCGGTTTGCAGAAGCAGCAAATGTCATTGTGCTATTTTTACAGGTTGTGCAAAAACATTAGCCTGACTTCATCATACTCATATTCTAGTCAGAATGTGAGTCTGATACTGCTTCATAGGGCTTTGATTATGAGGCGTGTCTTAACCGAACCAGGAAAAAAAAAACTCTGCACTCAATTGGATAGACCTACAACCAATGAGAGCAACGCAGTAAGTCAACTACTTTGCATAGCACAGTTGTCAACTACAGAACTCAAATGCACGCACGCTGGAAGAAGTAAAATAACGAGTGTTGCTTCTTTTACTTGGCCCTCTATGAGTGCGACCAAAGGAGAAACTACAACGACCAGAGGGTTTTCATTGCGTCCCATCTTCTTAGTTACCATCGGAGCCAGCTGATAAAATAAACTTTTGCCGAATCCCGTAGGAAGGACGGCAAACACATCTTTCCGATCGACAAATGCCTCGATTGCAGTTCTATGTTCGTCTTTTAAAATGAATGCGCTGTCGATTTCTTTTACAACAGACGCGATAGCGGAATCTCTACATCTCAGTTCTCCAGTGGCAGTCATCTGTGAGGGAAACCAGTTCAACCCAAGCGCTCTTTGATAACGTGATGATTACGTCCCTGCAGATCATCTGTCCATCATCGTATAAAGCCCGCCCTGGCAATTTGATTGGCCCGACGATTTCTGAACCGATCATAATTACTCCTCAATGGAGCGTGCCAAACTCCACAAACTCAGTTTGTGATTGGTCCCCGCAAAATTGTAACGGTAGCAGGATAAAAACATTTACAGGTTTCCAACCTGAGCTGCAGGGCGAAATCAAAATGGAATGGAGCATTTTCATGACTTTTAAAAAGACAAATAATTGTTTTTAGTTTAGCTAAAATTTAACTTTTAAAAAATGCATATAAACACAAATTATCTGCCTTTTATTTTGAAGGTTAGCTCAAATTGCATTTGTTTTTTTTAATTTCCCCATGTTACACAAGCACTTGGTAATACTACACTTCATAAGTTAGCATGAGATTTTTAGGTCATGTCAATAATCAGACTCAAAAGTTTTTCAATATTATTTCATCATGAAAACATTACAGCAAAGTCCAGTTGTCTGAGCACCAATAATATGATCCTAACAGCTTTCCAAGAAAGATAAGGGTAGATGCGAGTAAACACACACTGTGGCAAACACGTATGGTGGAGTCTGAAATACTGAAAGGTTTTTTATATATAGATTCTAATGTGCAGTGAAAGTAACCTATCATGTGTCACATTCTGTTCCTCTTACCTTTTTAAGAGACCGAGACGAGAGTATCAGAACCCGAAATCCAGAGGAATTACTGAGGAATGAGAAGTCATTCTTTTGCAGTACAGAAAATTCATTTCCAGAAAGAACAAGGGTCACCAGGTTTGGCAGCTGAGGTTGTATGCCCAGTTTAGCAGATTTCAGTTTGTTTCGAGATACATCCAACCATGTCAAACTCTACATAGGGAGGAAATGTTATTGAAATGTATTATCTATATAAGACCATAAGAGACTGGAAAATGTTACTTCTGGTTAGAGGCCATAGCATGAAATCAGTAATTGGTTTGAGTAAACACCTCAAACTTTTGATTGTATTTCATATATTTCCCTGTGTGGGAAAATGTGTATTCATAAACATACCTTTAGAACAGAGAAGGGTTCCCCTTGTAGCTTCAGCCGATTGTCAGACAGGTCAAGTTGTGTTAAATGAAAACAGTTTTTCAGGTCTTTCTCGCTCATCAAATATACTTCATTGTGTTGCACATTAAGAATTTGCAGGTGTGGCAGAGAAAGACATAGATCCTTTTCTATGGCAGTTAAAGAGTTGTAGCTGGCATCTACATTCACCAGATTTGAGTACAAAAGCAAGGAAGACAGATTTTTTAATCTATTGTGAGACACATCTAATGTGGTGATATTTTTGGGCAAGTTGGTTGGAACTACATCCAGATTCATATGACTACAGTCTGCTTTGGCATTTTCAATCCTACATGTTGGTTTGTGTGGATATGCAGAGCCTGCACAGTGGGCATGGAAACAAGTGCAGAACAGGGTCAACAATATGAGTTTCACCAGTTCCATTATTTTCCTTCCGTATAGGCTTTTTCCCCCTAAGTCAAACTGTAATAAACATAATATTGTTGACAACAATATTTTATACACAAAGTATAAGCTTACCTAAAGACAATAGAACTTGGTAACTTACTAAATGATCTAAAAGAGACCAGGACTAGTTGTAACATGAGGAAGTTGGCACAAGATTTTAACCGAAAGTTAAAACCTCAGGATAAGTGTATTTCTTTCTTGTCTGGCTGGGTCAGGTTGTCACATTGGTAATTATATACACAGTTTATTACTTACTATAAATGTTATATTTTATGGTGCCTTTTCCATTTTTGCTGTTTCATTAGTATTTTGCAGCTGAAAGTAATTCATACATTGCATATAATACTGTTTCAATACAGTACATACATGCGTTATACTTATGAAATACTATGTATTTAATATATATATATATATATATATATATATATATATATATATATATATATATATATATATATATATATATATATATATATATTTCACAAAAGGTATTGAAAGATGAGATGAGAGAGCAAAATCTTGCAACTAGCCCTGGTCTCCACTCTGACCTCTATTAAAGAAACATTCTACATCTCAGGAAAGTTATAACAAAATAATTGTTTAGACGACTCTTTCCAAAACTGCTAACACGAGGCTGCACGTAAACGTATTATTTTGTGTAACAAAGTACTGCAATTGAATTTAGCATGTGTGTTCATGGACTTACTTGAATTGTGACGATCTAATTTCAAACGTTCAGCTCAAATATCTGCATGGTTGTGGTTCAAGAGTGAAGCAACTCAAGTCAGTCCTCTTGTATAACTTGTAAAATAGAATCTTTGCATGGGGAAAATAACCTTCAACAGGGAACAATTCCTGTTTCTTAACAAGTGAAACAAAGAGAGGCGGATCCTTTCACGGAGACGTGTCCTAGAAATCAAATGTCGTCACTCAGATTCGACAGCGAGGTCAAGAGATGAATCATATGCCTATGCCAAATAACATGTTCCCCTCATTATTTAAAATGCAGAATCGAATATGTTGCAAATTGCTTTAAGACAAATAAAATATTCATCTGTCAGCGAAAGAAATAAAAAAAATAAAAAACTTCCTCATTGTCATAGGCCTATGTGCGATAAATTTAATATCACTTCTGCTATTTCTGATATAGTTTCCCCCCCTCAAAATATTTTTATTGGCTTCCTGAAAAGAAAAAAAGGAAGTGAGTTATCTTAGGGATTTTCCCCTCAGAACATTCCCTGCAGACTCTCGAGATTTTGTGAAAACTTGATAAAGAATTGCAGTAAGGATTTTTAGTTGAATTACAATATTTATTAATTAAAAAAATAAATAAAAACGGATTGTTTCTTTGTTTTTTGTATTCATATATAATTTTAAATGCAACATCGCTTTAGCAGTCATTCATCAGAATGTCCGAATGGGGGCGCCAGATATTTCAAAATGTGATGACGTTGGTCAAGATTTAATAAAACACTTTGTATTAACAATGTTTAATAAATCAGCATTCCATGTGGGCTATGTTTGAATTTGAATAGAAAAATAAATATGAATCTGGCATTTCTAACTAGCTACATAGATGTATAGGCTATAGTTAAACATGTGAAATGTCTTGCTACTCACATTGAAGGATCTCTGCTCTGGCTGAATTCTGCGGGAAAATGTGTTCACAATCAAACAATATTAATTTTCATTCAAATGTGTTTATTTTTAAATCATTAGAACTGGTCTTTGGTTTCATAAGATGGCAATTGGTGTCAGAGTTCAGCAGGTGGCTTGAGGAATAGGTGTGCATGTGGTTCTTAAGAATTTAGATCCAGATGTGTGCAGTTACCTAGCAACTGCAGCAGGAAGTGAAAGGGCACCTGGAATCTGATGACTCATTGATAAAACAGCAGGTTACCATATTTCTATTGGAAAATTATATCAAATAGACTGACTATTCGCTTTTTAATTTCAGCCACATCAATAGCCCTTTCTTTCTCTTTCACCCACACTCGATATATCTCTCCATGCGATAGTGACTGAACAATGCTGGACAGGTTTCATAGTCAGCAATTATTCTGTCCACACAAGTGATCAATATTATGTGTGTGTGATGCTGGTAAACCTGTCCATGTTTCGCTGACACAGTTAATAGTAACATGCAGCTATTCTCACAGATAGTTACTGCAGGCATCAGTCCAGGCAACCACACAGACTTTAAAGTACACTCGATGATTCTGAAAGAATTAGCGGCAGGTAGGCCTACTGTCCGAATCATTCAAAATTTTGAATAATTTATGGCATGTACATTTGCATATAAATAGATGAAGTGAAAGCTAGTTCGGTTACCAGTGACTGCAGATCAGAGCTTATCATCTTGTTTCCACATGAGAGCATCAAGTGCAGGAATGAAGGTGTGGACTTTGCGTTTGAAGATGTTTACGACCAAAGCCATTTTTGTATATACCGATTTTATTGCATCCATCAAAACTTTTTGGATCATTCTCAAAACATGATCCGTCAGGTTTTTGCATAGGCTTTGCAGAGAGTTCGAGTGAATCTGTCATTAAAGGGGGGAAAAAAGTTACAATTTCTCTATGCTTATAATACAATTTGCAACAACATTTTGGTTTAAAATAATAATACTTCTGGTCGCTTTTGAACCGTTTGGAAATATATTTTATTTTAGCATTAATTAAAACTTATATCAATTTTATTTTTACATGTATACATTTTAAAAGTAGCCTATATAATTTGTATTTGCTCAAGTCTTTTCCCCATGGCCTAAATAAAACCTGCCTTTATACCTGTTCAACTCATGCATAATTGAATTGATAACATAATACCCTTTGTTTCTCTTCATCTCTCTAGACAGAATTCTTTTGTCTCCTTCTTTTATCTCTCCTCTCAACAATCTCTTTCAGTTGGTTATTCCCAAGCATTCTTTCAGAGATCAGAACAGAAAGATATGACCTTTGATTGACCTCAAAGTGATGCCAGTTCTGTACCTCAGTCTACATACTATATCTGTATATTCTACATCAATATATCCATAATGTATATATATATATATATATATATATATATATATATATATATATATATATATATATATATACACACACATTATACATACATTATATATTCATTATATAGTACATCTGTATACTTGGCACTCAACCTGTATTCTTATATACTGTAAATTAGCATGCATTTACATCAGTCTTTATAATAAGTCTACATATAGGCCAATTTAATGTATACTCTACACCAGTCTAGTATACTCTGTCTGTGGGAAGTAAAGTCAAAATAGAACTAGGCCTACATGCCACATCTATACACTGTACACTGACCAGTCAAACGTTTAAAATAATTAAGATTATTTTAAAATGTTTTTGAAAGATGTATCTTATGCTTGTCAAGGCTACATGTTTTTTATCTTAATTTTGTAAATTATTATTACAATTTAAAATAACCATTTTCTATTTGAATACATTTAAAAATGCTCAATATTTTGTGGAAACTGTGATACACAACTGTTTAAAAGTTTGGGTAGTTAGGTTTTTAATTGTATGATTTAATAAAAAGAACCATTATTGATAATTGAGCATCAAAAATGTAATAATATTTCACAGTATTACTTCATTTTTTACTTTATTACTGTATTTTTTATCTTATAAAAACAGCCTTGCTGAGCAGTCTCCATTTATTTGATAAAAAATTCAGATCTTTCAAAAACATTAAAAAAGTTATTCCAAACTTTTGACTGGTATATCATTTCAAGGCATTGTAAAGTACCAATGTAAATACACCAGCATCCCTTCATCTCTATTGCTTCACTCCACCTTGGAAAACGAGTAAAAAAATCAAAAGGTTATGCAATCAAGTTGAGCTGAAATGAGGACTTTATGCTGTCAGCAGTCGTAAGTCTCTCAGATTTGATCTGTTGCCATTTATCGGCATAGAGATCTGCACAGTGGCCTTTAATAGGTGAAAAAATACTCCTACAGGGAGAGAGGCAGATAAGGGAGGTTTAGAGAAAATTGATGGACAATTAAGTGAGAGAGAAAGGAAACTGAGAGAGCGAGAGCAAACCTTGCAGAAATCAGCCGTGCACTGGAGTCAGCAATGGAGAGGGAGACAGAGAGAGCTGTTATGGGAAAAGAGTACTGTCACATTCACAGACTGGAATCTACTTATGAAGAAACACATACTTGGATACAGTAGGACATTTCTTGTCTAAGTGCACGTGTCAAAGTCCACTCATGTAGATGGAATAACCACAGGGGTTGCTGCTGAATCAGAGTATGTTTCAGAAAGACAGAGAGAGAGAGAGAGAGAGAGAGAGAGAGAGAGAGAGAGAGAGAGAGAGAGAGAGAGAGAGAGAGAGAGAGAGAGAGAGAGAGAGAGAGAGAGAGAGAGAGAGAGAGAGAGAGAGCTAGTGAATGCATAACAGCGTGTTCAAAGTAAACGCTCAATCTGAGCTTCACATGCACTCACATAAAATATAAACACTTTCTGGATTTGGATCATACTGAAACTCTGGACAAGGTAAGAGCTTAATGAGTTTGTGTGAATATTACTGTGATCTTGTGTCTATCTATCTTAAAATGAAAAGGTGAGAAGTGTGTGTGTGTGTGTACACTTTTCTTAGAATTACACTGCGGTAACAATCTCATTTGCTGACAAATAGTGTATAGAGGTCATCTTGTATGTGTTTGTGGGTAAAGTTGTGTGAATGTCATGCTGAAAAAGAAATTGCTGTAGGTTAGTGGTGGGCAATTTCATTTAAGTCCTACTGGTTTAGCAATGGTGCTGAAATAGATACTGGGCATAGACAAGGCAGATCTACTGTCAATATCTAATAACTGAAAACGTCTCAGCACAGCATCAATCACCCAATAAAATGTCTTTTCTATGGAAGGTCAGGAAGACATTACAGTATGGGCCATAAAACCATCATAGCTTTATGTGGATAATTGGTAGAGTTAGTGCGTTGTGATGACGTGTGTATGTGTGAAAACAATAGCTCATGGTGCTTTTTTCACATCAGGGGCTGCAGTGCAAGCCAATCGCTGACTCAGCCACACACACACACACACACACACACACACACACACACACACACACACGCACACACACACACACACATATAATGTGCCCCCTGGGGCAGCGGGGCATCAATACTACACCCAGATCAGCAGCATAGCTCAGCATAGAACAGAGCAGAGCAGAAACACAGCCTCAAATACAACACAAAACAGCAAGAGTAACATTAAACTATAAAGGAAGCACCAGTCGGATTTCATTGAAGGCTTTTCCTGAGATGCTCTGACCTATACAGAAAGACCCTGCTTCATCCTTGCATCACATTTTACATCTTCTTTTATGTTAAGGTTGACTTGACCTTATTTGTGTAAGGGTCCCCGAGCCCCCATGATATGTGTACAAATAATACAGTTTTTTTCAACTGCTTACACACATTTTCTGTGTGTAAGCACACAGAAAATCTTTTTTTTTCAAAACTTTACACACAAATCCAAGAATTGCACACACAAAATGCATTTGTCTTATTGCAAACACCTTTGCCATAATATTATATTTTTGGATATATCATATACACAGTTATTCAAAACGCAAAGCTCTTCTTTCATGAGCTACATTTCTATACACGATTGAAAGTAATTGGCAGAGACATGTTGAAAAATTCACGGTAAACACGAAAGCAAGATTGTAACCAACTATTTATTTTTTTACTGTAAGCATTTGCGGTTGTGAATACAGTATTACACAGTCCGAAAAACCTATAACTTGACCTTTGGCCTATTTATAGGCCTATTCTAAAGCCATGATTGGTTGGTGTTACAGTTTTTTTCAATCGCTAACAAGCGCTTACCCATACTTCAGATACTTT